GAGAAGGGACTGGGTCGAGCATTCCAGATCCGCTGCCGCTCATCGTCACGCGTGGAGGGGAACCGTCCGTGACATCATTAAGGCCGGCTAGATCATGCATAATCACAACCGTAACAAGTGCAGTCAAGTAGTTTTCGGATAGCGCGACTATCGAATCAGAGGCGTCCTCCTCTCATCCAGATTGACCTGAGGACTCTGAGTCGAGCCTTTCGATCTTGTGCAAGGTGATGCCTGTCTTTCTGTCGATATTCGCGTCCCTGGGGAGAGATGTAGCGAAACTGAGAGAGATACGCTTTATTTTTCAAATAACATTCCAAACTTTTCAGCAAAAACGTCCTCCATTATACGGGTAGGATTTAATACGTAGGCCATGCAGGGTGTAATGGTAAAGGCACAGTTTATAAGTGGTCCCGTTGGTATGAGATAACACTACGAGGGGAGGGCTTGGTTCTACTGATAGCGTTCTTATAAGACATCATGAACAGCTTTCAGTGCTGAAGTGAAATCGGGGGTTGCCGAATTAATGGAACGCAATGCGGTCTTGGAATTGATACAGGGGGCCGTGGAGGTTGACTACATGTCAGTACAGCCGGGGTTGTTTCTGACAATTCTGCTCAGACGGTATGCATCGCACCCACGACCACCTCCAGCTCTGTAGACGGCGTGAACCAGTATGTGTTGGGTACGTTTACAGGCGCCTTCTCCTGTAAGTAAGCAGTGTGTTCTTGAATGAAATCTTAGAAATAGCTCAAAATAGCGGGAGACTGGAATGGCCATTTCTGGCTCATTAGCCGTCATCAGCTAGTCATACGCAGTCCCAGATGGCGCACCAATATTCATCTGCCTATACAGTACTAGCGGCTGTTGGCGGGGCCCGAGAGTAAATCCCAAAGGCAGGTGAGTTCCGGGTGAGTTCTGCAACCGATCGATGAGCGCTCGTCCACCATTGTTAATGCTCCCGACCAAAACGGACCGGGCAACTAGCTCTCGGCGCAATGGTTAGAGCGTTAGACTTATAACTAAAAGGTCGCAGGTTCGAACCTCGGGTGGGGCACCACTTGGGGTTGGGTATGACAGGCCTATAACGGCTCGTGAGCTAGGAATGGACATTCCAGTTTCCCCCTGACTTTGCCGG